ATGTGGGTTCAAAATAAATGCTTTGTTGAAGGACTTTGTTTTTCAATTTTATATTGTTATTTTATAACTTGTTATTTTTAGTGTCACAGAGACCCACAGTTATGGAGACTCCATCAGGTATTAAGTTTTATTCCATCAGAAACCAGGACTTGCTGGACTGATAATGGCTGGAGAGATTGGATTAGATTTCTTTTTCCTTTCCTTTGATCCAATTTTCCCTTTGTTGTCATTCAGAGACACTTAGGATCTGCCTTTTAACATTCTCTGGCTGGAGAATTACCACTGGGTATGTTATTGCTTTAGTGACTCGAAATGAAGGGTTAAGAACCATGGACTTACTTTATATATATTGTGCGTGTGTGTGTGTGTGTGTGTGTGTGTGTGTGTGTGTGTGTGTGTGTTCATATCATTGCCTCCTTTCTGTTTATTTCTGGGGAAGATACAGCCCTCTCCTCCCCCCACCTTCCAAAGCTAACCTTTATCTACTTGTGCTTCTAATCTCATTCCCTCCAGCTTTCTCCTTATACCTTATTCCAAGGATCACCCCCTTTCTCTAAGCCTCAGTTTCTCCTTCTCCCCAGTCTCCTTTCCCTCCACCTATAAACAGGATCAAATTTTCCCCAGAATAAACTAATTTTTTACAATCCCAGTATTTGAGCGTTCCCGTTTCTTTCTTGTTCCTTTCCTTTATGGCCACATTTCTAGGAAAAAAAATAGTCTACCCTCATTTTCCCTCAATACCTAGTGACTCCATAGACAGAGATAGGGACAGCACCTGTGATTTCATAGGTGTAAGGAAATCCCAGGGGAGAAAACTCACTGCACCAGTGGCTGGCAGCACTGACTTTACAGCTTGTATCTTGAGAGTTGCCTGCAGGCACTGAGAGGTTGTACCTTTGCCAGGGTCACCCAGCCAGTAGGCTGAAAAGGCAGAACTTAAACCCCATGTTTTCCTGGTCAGCTTTTACTCTGTTGTGAGATACTGACTCTACAGATCATTTCCAGCATGTATGGAAACATTCCTTTTTTTTCTTTTTTAGTTTAGAATTTAACATTTTAAAAATCTATTATAGTCATGCATGTGTATATACGTATGTGTATATACGTATTTGTGGATGTATTTTATATACATACATATATGTGTATACATACTTACATACATGTATATACATACATACACACATAATTACCCAGTTGTTTCAGTCATGTCTGACTCCTTGTGACTCCATGTGGGGTTTTTTGGAGTGGTTTTGCTATTTCCTTCTCCAGTTCATTTTACAGCTGAGGAAACTGAGGTTAAATGACTTGCCCAGAGTGACACAGCTTGTGTGTATATACATACACATACATATATGTATATATGTATGCATGTATCTACCTATGTCCTCTGTCTATCCATCTACCTATTTATCTATCCATCCATCCATCTATCTGTGATTCCTTAACCCTCTTGAAATGGGCTTCCAGCCCTATCACTACAAAAATAGTCATTTTGAGAAAGCCTGATAAACAGATCCAGTGGCCTTTCTTTTTGGGGTGGGGCAGTGTATGCAGTGGGGGAGGTCCTTATCCTCTTTCCTCTCTAGGCAGCAGACAACATGGTTGCCCATTCTTTTCCTCCTGGATTCCATATCCTATCTTGACTCCAGAAAGCCACACTGTCCTGCTCGTCCTTCTGCCTGTGCGACTCCCTCTTTTTCTCCCTTTTTCATGACTACCCATTTGCATCCCAACCTCCAAGGTTCTTTCTTTTACTCTATTCTCCAAACTATATCCCATGGGAATTTCCTCCTGCTTCACAATTATCTCTTTGCCAACCACCAAATGTATTTATTTGCTCATTAGTTTGCCAACCACTTATTAGTGTCTACTGTATACCAATCATTGTACTAGGTATTGGAATAGATGGGATAATTAAAAGAGACCCTGACCTCATGAAGCTTACAATCATAAGATCAGAGTATCATCGATTTGGAGCTGAAAGGGGGTCTTAGCGGCCATCTAATCCAACTCCCCTTATGTTACAGGTAAGGACACAGAGACCCAGAGACTTAACCCAAGGTCACCTAGCTAATCGGTAGCAGAGTCAGGAGTGAGCCTAGGTCTTCTGAGACCAAATCCGGCACCTTTTCCAATTTCCTCCCCCAGTCTAGGGTGATGATACGTGAATACCCAGTACTGTATACTGTGCAATAACTACACAATACAGAGCAGAAAAATGGGCTGTAAAATAGAAACAAATGTCATTAAAGAGCAAAGAAATGTGATTTTGGATTAGTGGGACCAGGGAATGTTTTTCAGAGGAGGTGTAACCTGAGTTATGTCTTGAGGAATGAGTAGGAATGTGGGATAGTGAAAGAGAACTGGATTGGAACCAGCAGACCTGGGTCTGAATTCTGGGTCTGACACTTCATAGCTGTGCGACCTTGGTTAAGTGACCTTCCTTATTTTGGTCTCACCTGTAAAATGAGGCGATTGGATTGGATGGCTTTTAATGTACCTGTGAGGCCAAAATCCTGTGTTTTCAATAGACATGGAGATGTATGTTCCATAGGAAAAGGAAGAAGATGAGAATGAATGGCGGTGGGAAGGCAGGAGATGTGGGAGTAGTCCAATCTGCACAGACCAGAGAAAACTCAGAGGTGGGATGGTCTGAAATAAGCGTGAGAAGGCAAGAAGGGGACAGGCTGCAGATAGCCTTGAATGCTAAGCGACATACTTTGGGCTTTATTTGGTATTAAACAGGGAGACAGCGATGGGTTTTGAGTAGAAAAATAACATGCTCAGCTCTGTAGATACATGAGTGATCTATGATCTCATTAGCGTGGAAAAGTCTTGGGGTGGGAATGCTTTCCACGAGCTACACAGACGCTCTTAGGGTTGGTCATACCAGCAAGCTGCCTGAGGCACATAGAAGTTGAGTAATTTAACAAAGGTCACACAGCTAATAAATGTTAGAAAAACAATTCAAATCAATCTTCCTAACTCCAGATGCAACATTCTATTTGCCTCTACCAGGTCTGTGCATATGAAAGGTTACTCTGTCAACAATATAGAGAATGAAGGTGGCTAGGTGGTACAGTGGATAGAGTGCTGAGCCCGGAGTCAGGAAGACTTGGGTTCAAATGCGACTTCAGACCCTTACTAACTGTATGACCCTGGGTAAGTCACTTAACCCTGCTAGCCTCAGTTTCCTCATCTGTAAAATGAGCTGGAGAAGGAAAAGGAAAACCACTCCAGGATCTGTGCCCAAATGGGGTCATGAAGAGTCAGATACAACTGAAATGACTAAACGACAATATAAAGAATGGACTGGAATAAGAAAAAAACTAGACACTGGAAGGCCATTTAGTATACCGTTACTCCACAAGAAATGAAGGGGAGGGACTGGGTCCTACAGTGCCCACAGAGCTCTACTGTCCAACTCATTTCTCAGTGGAGGACATCCAGGTGCAAGAGAATATTTCCTTGTGCCCTGGATGTTTGAATTACTTCATTTTCTTATGCTTTCAGCATATATGATAGCCTTAGGAGTCCAATCTATTTTAAACTGGACACAGTCTTGCTGTGAAGGGCGTGGAGGATGACTACCCTGACCCTATTACTCCTCTGCCCAAATGCCTATAACGGATCAAATTCCTTTATTTTACAGATGAGGAAACTGAAGCCCAAGCTGACGACTTGCTCAAGTTCACCCATCTAGTACGTGGGAGATCTGAGATGTGAACCAAGGTCTTCTGACATTTTTTCAAGTACTCTCAGAGCCAGGGTGCGTCTTTTAGCAATGAGCTCCAAGCAATCACAACACTTTCTTTGGATGCCAAATTCCTGCTTTAGTTAAGTATGGGCCCAGTATGCCTGCTGCCTAAGGACCAATGTGGCTTTGTTAAGAGAGACTCAGCACCAGACGGACTGCAGAGAGATGGATTTTTCAGCCACAACAATTCTTGCAGACCATCTACCATATCATAGAAGGCTTGTGCTCTGTTATTATACCAATAAAACCAGAGATCCTTAAAATACTGAGACAGGCCAGCTCTCCACAAAGCATTGAACAAAGTTAATAAGTTAAAGAGAATTTTATTAAGCTCTTCCATTAAGTGGCATTATTATATTAATTGTGGACAATCTAGTCTCCTTCATGTAAACATATAACCAAAACAGCACTGAGCCCCCAAACATTAGACTGAAATGAACTATTAAATTTTTTTTAAAAGGGACCCATTAATTGTCAGACTAATTAACTCACTTGAAAGAAGGAAAACTATTGTGATTCTGAAATTAAAAAGTCTCTTTCTCTAATGCTTACCAAGGGAGCCATAAAAGAACACCACTCCATCACTCCATCACCACCCTCCCCCTTTCTTCCCTCTAACCAACTGGAAGAAACAAGCTTTGGGAGGATGTGGAGTATTTGCAACATTTGCCCAACACAGCTGTTCTCACAAAGAGGTCGGGTTCTGGCCTCTGCCAAAGTTATAGATTTGCCAACTTTACTAACAAAGCAGCTCTCAATCTGAGATGAGAGCATCTCACAGTGAACCAAACTGGGGCAATCAGTTCATAAGAGGGTTGTCAAATACAGTTTAATCTGTTTCTATTTGGAACAGCTTTCAAGGACTTCGGAGTAGAAGGGAAATGATTTTAACTGGGAGGAAAAAAAAAAGGTATCGTTCAGGCCAAAGCCTTCAGAATTGGAAAGCACCAATTTATCTGATCCCAGGCACTGAAAAAAAGTTTCCCCCCCAATATACTTGCAAGATGAACTAAGTTCCTACCAAGTATGGAGGCCTGGCTTGCTGCAGCGAAGGCTCTGAGAAGGCCATTTTTAGCTTTGTTCTCTTTTAGGCCATTCAGAAACAAATCCTTTTTAAATATGGAATTTGGCAGGCTTTCCACGTGGCAAATACCCATTGTCCCAGCTCGCAACCTCTTGCAGTCATTGAATCCACCAACCAGTGGGCCGAAGAACAGCCGCCTGGCTGGAACAGGTTACTAACCTGCTCGTGAACTTGCACCGGCGGGGCAGGTAATAGATTTTTCTCCTGGAAGAACAGCAAAAATGAAGCCAGTCGAGAAGAAAACCCATCGTCAGTTACAGTTTGAACTAGCAAGGAAGGAAAGGAGATTGAAGATAGAAGCCTGTAAGAGGTGGAGGAAAAAAACTAAAAAGAGATTAACAGTGAGACCCTTAGCAGGCACTTGGGGCAAACATTTCCCAACCACACAAGCTGATGGAGCTGTTTTCATTCCTCGCTCATCTCCTCCACCCTCCTACTTCTGGGCCTCTCCCATACATAACCTGTGGGAAACAGGGATTTAGAGCTACCTGCCTGGGCCTCAGTTTCCTCATCTGTAAAATGAGATGAGATGTTTGGCTTACATGGCCTCTGAGCTCCCTGTCAGCCTAAGATCCTGTATAATACCACAGTCCTGTAAGGTAAGCTCTTCCTGAGATTTCCCAGAAGGTACTGGGGTAAAATTGTGTGGGTCCTGAAGATGACTATCTTAAGAAGTTAGCTTTTTTTCTAGGGAAATGCAAATCCTGGGTTAGGCTTCCTTTTTAAAAATAATGTAGTCTTATGCAAGTTAACCCTGATTGAATTAAATGGGGGGGGAACTCAAGAGTTCAAGAAAGTAATTAAACCACACTGCAAATATACATGTTACTGCATTATAAGTTGTACATATGGCTTTCCTAAGTGCTCTTAACTTGAGAGAGGTAAGAGTTAGATAAGTGAGAGAGGGAGGGGGAGGGAATGTGGTAGAGAAAAGGAAAGAGAGAGAGAGAAAGTGAAAGGAGAGAAAAAGAGGGGAAATAAGAGAGAGAAAACATGAGAGATAGATATGGGTGAGAGAAAGAGGGAGGGAGAGGCAGAAAGAGGAGGGGAGAAGGAGAAGGAGAGAGAGAGAGGTTTGAGAACTGAAATGACAGAGTGTTTAATAGCATTCTTTTTGGCATAATGCCGATCTTTATCGAAATCTGGTCTCCTACTCCTAATTTTGACCATTATTCACTGGGGATTTTTGTTTTTTAACCAAAGCAGTTTCAATATGTTCTCAGTTGTTCCTGATCCAGCTCACTTCTGGAAAATGAAGGCTTTGCTTCACACAACTCATCCTGCATATTTAGGTAAACTTGAAGATCTCCCACTGCCCATAAACATGATTCAGAAGCAGATTTTATTGGCAATTTCCTATGATAAAAGCAATTATGCTGTTTCCTCTTCATCTCACATACACTGCAGAGGTGATAAATCAAAGGGGACTGAACTTGGAATTTCAATGGGCAGGATGCAGGAAATCATAAATACATATAAAAGTTGATGTGGCTTTTAAAACATAGCTCCAAGTGGATGCTTGCTTGTTATATGGAAACAGTTTTCAACGAAAACTCTTCCTCTTGCACGCGTCCATGTTCCCTTCATGAAGCTAGAATTCTTTGCCTGACTGGAGAATAAACGAACATCATGGTATGCCCATTACTGCATGTTAATAACCCATATTTTTTCCACTATGGATGAACATATCAGCCCAGAATTGCTAAGGGGCAGAAATGGCCAGATCATGGTATTACTTGTAATTATCACTTTCATTTTATTTGTTAATATTAAGCTAGGCTTAGGACAAAGAGATAAAGAGAAGTCCTCCTAGACAAATAAACTATCTTGGTCCTTTAGGGACCCACCCTTGTGGTCCTAGGAAAGGTCTTGACAAACTGTTGCTAATACCGTAAAACCTTTCCAAATGGCAAAAAGGGAGCATGGAGTAGAAGACAGAGAGAGGTGGGTTCAAGCCTCGCCTCTGACACATATTGGCTGTGAGACTTTGGGCAAGTCACTTAACCCTTTAGTGCTCGAGACAAGTTTCTAAGAATGAAGAAAAAGGATCCACTTGCATCAGTAGAGTTTCCTCACTACAGAGACCCTACATCAATGTAACTAGAGGTCTGATGGACCATTTAAAAAGGGGTTCTTAACCTTCCATTTGTTTAAATTTTTTTAAAAAAATAACTATTTTAATATACTTGGGCAACTGGTGGATAGAATGATGGGCTTGGAGTCAGGAAGACCTGAGTTCAAAATCCTGTCTCAGGCACTTACAAGCTCTGTGATTGTGGACAAGTCACTTAATATCTGTTTGACAAAGTTTGCTCAACTTATAAAAATGGGGATAATAACGGTTTGTACCTCACAGACTTATTGTAAGGATCACTGAGATAATTAATGTTTGTAAAGGGCTTTGCAAAGGGCTATATCAATGCTAACTATTAATATTATTAATGTTATCACTGGTTTCCTTTGTAATTCCATATTTTATTTTCTACATTTTAAAACACAATTCGGAGAAGAGGCCCATAGGCTGCAGCAGACTTCCAAAAGTCCACAACACAAAAAAAGTTAAGAACACTTGAAGAAAACAGAAATAATTGGCTTTCTAGGTTTAAGTATCTACTTTGTGCACCAGAGATAATCATTTTTCCGGCACAGGGTCTAGTGGTGTTTTTATTTAGTGTAGGCAACAATTTCAACAAATATTTCTGTGAGATTAGTATATGAAAATTTGTAATGCATGATTGGCGTCAAGGTAAACAGTTTCTGGACATCCGAGAAATCTTTTTTTTTTTCCTACTTAATACATGCCTTAAAAGGCCCAGGGCTAAAGGACATAAGACAGGAAGTAAAAAAAAATCAATAGAAACCAGGCATTTTCAAAACTGATTTTGGCTCCTTTTTGACACAGCCTCGATGTACATATCTGTTTCATGGTATGCCCAATTCTCCACAGCTCATTAAACTGGGGGCCTGTAGGCAGTGGCAGCAAGAATAGTTTGTTCCTGCTTTGGGGCTTGGTTTTTTGGAGAGACAAATGGCAATCCAACAGACTGAATTTTTCATTCCATTAAAATTGACCTTAGAGTCAAAATTGTCCTTCACTTTTGGGAAACCTCCCACAGTGACTCCTATGGTTCTGGGCATTTATCCCTTCAAGTCCACTGTTTCATCCACTCTTCTTTCAAAAATGAGGATCCCCTTTCTTTCACCGGGGGCAAATGGAGAATACAAACATGACTGAATCAAACAAAATGAGCTTTTGGAGATAACTAAATTAACCATGCATAAAACATTCTCAATTCTTCCTTGAATAGCACGAATTCAGTGTACCCTCAGCATTCTGTGATCTGACTTCTTTTTTTTCTTTTTTTTCCTCCTTTTTTTTTCCCCTACTAGACCCGCAAAACTTTCTTCAGTGCATTACAACTTAGATGCCAGGGGCACAGAGAAGTTAAGTGGTTTTCCTAGGGTCTCACAGCCAGTATATGTCAGTGGTGACACTTGAAGTCAGGTCTTCCTGGTTCTGAGGATGCTTCTTTGTGCAATATGATGCTATGTTGCCTCTTACAGCCTGGGTATTTAAAGCTCTTTGATGGACAGGATTCAAGATGGTGAATATATCTTGGACAGATTCTTTTGCAGATATGTACCAAACTTCTTGAGTGTGAGTGTGTATGAGTATGTGTGTATATGTGTGTATGTGTGTGTGTGTGTATGTAGCTTGTGTCCCATTGTTACACTGATATCAATGGGATGACCATTCAAAAGCAGCTCTTTAAAATGAAAACAGTACTTGAGAGTAGTGTCTTTCTCACAAGATCAGCTGTTCTTGTATGAAACAGTAAGGATTTTCCCCGAAGGGCAATGAATTTACCACTGACCATCTAACTTATTTGCAATTTCTAAAAGCATGAAGTATTTCTCCTAATTATTAGGTACTAATTGTTCTCCTGATTAGTTTTCCCTTGACTATTAGGGCCCAATAACTTTTCCATCTGCATTTTGGTCATATTTTTCTGAGTTCACTAAGAGACATTAAGTACAAAGGGAAGCATCAAGGAGAAAGGGGAGAAAGTGTATTAGCCCTTACCTGAAAGGCATTCTGACATTCATGACTTCTGCGTATCTGCCTAGCACCTCCCAAGGGGCATGCAACTTCACGAAGATAATGTCATTATTTATGACAGAGGACTGAAAGAAAAAAAGATTAAGTATTTCAAAGTCACTTAGGGCTTAATTTGGGATGGAATGGGAAAAAACAGCATATGTAGGGCTCTCCTGCTTAGTATCCATATCACTTTCCAGTGACCATTAGAGTGAGGAGAGAGATGAATAGAGCATTTACACAGTGCTTACTACGTGCCAGGCACTATGCTAATTGCTGAGATTCTTAGGAGGACACATTGACCTATCCCAAGTCGGTGTTGCTGTAGTTTAGTAACATGTATTCCTCATGAGGTCATGGGCTTAGAACTAGAAGGGGCATTAGAAGTCAAATAGGTCAATCTCCTTGAGTAACCATAGGTGGATAGGGGAGGGATAGGGTCAGCTCTGGCACTTTCATTCCTGGCTGGTAAAGCAATGCAGGCTTGCAGAGCCACACCCAGTGGGCTGTGATTGCCCCATTTGGCTGCCTTCCAAATTCCTTATGTGTGATCTTAAGTACACTCTTCCCTTCAGTCCATGTTGATATAATTCCCATGCCAATAGGTCCACAGTGATGTGGGCCAACCCACCCCCTGCATCAGTCCATCAAGCCCACTGAGAGCATACCCATCCCATTGTTCATTTTGGTCATGCTCAACCAGTGGAACCAACTTAGGAACAGGTGGGGCAAATCATTCTACTCTCCTGAGCTGTAATAATAGACCTTTGCTTCCAAAGCCTCTGGTGTTCACTGTATCCCTCCAAACTGAACTCCTATCCAAAAGATTTCATTTTACAGATTAGGACATTTGAAGCTCAGAAGGGTTAAGTGATGTGGCTCAGGTCATGCAGGTGGTAAGTGACAGAAGTGGGATTTGGACCCAAGTCTCTTGATTTCAAATCCACTAAAGTTTGCATTGTACTATGATGCCTCTTCTGGGGGGGCCATTCACCTGGGCCCCCATGCTGGTGCTCTCTCTGACACTCCTTTCTCCCAAATCTCTCATATCCAATCAGTCATCTGTCCTATTAATTACCCTACTGCAATGTCTTTCGCATTTGTCCCTTCCTCTCTAGTCTCTCTGCCACCATCTTGGAAGAGGCATTCATCATCACTCACTTGGACTACTGCAACAGCCTGCTGCCATGCTCTCATACAAGGAATGTTAGCAACTGATTAAAAATTTGGAGTGAAGGATAATGAGGATTAAGGATAATTCCAAGATTACAAACCTGAGAGACTGGAATAATGGTGGTAGCTTTAACAGAAATGAGACAATTTGGAAGAAGAATGAGTTGAGATGTGCCTGTGTGTAAAGATAATGAGCTCAATTTTGGCCATGTTGAGCTTGAGATGCTTTCATGAAATCTACTTCTTTTGAAATGTCCAAAAAGCAATTGGTGATGGGGAAATGAGGCAGAGAGGAGAGAATCGTACTGGGTAATAGAGATTTGGGAGTCACCATCTTAGAGAAATCATTAAATCGATAGGAATGAACAAGGTCACCAAGACAGCATGTAAGGAGAAGTAGAAGGCCTAGGACCAAAGCCTGGGGAATAGCCACATGGGCTGGATGACGAGCCAGCAAGGGAGCCTGAGGTGTGGTCAGACAGAACAGTGGAGAACCGGGGAAAACAGTGTCACAAAACCCTGGAGGGGAGAGCGCAGCGAGGAGGAGAGCATGGTCAGGAGTGTCAAACGCTGCAGAGAGGCTGAGAAGGATGAGGTGAGGATGGAGAAAAGGCCATCGGATTTAGAAATGGAGAGATCATTGGTAACTTCGGAAAGATTGAATTTAGCTGAGTGAGGAGGTGGGAAGCCAGACTGCAGAGACTGAGCAGTGAAGGGACAGGAAGTAGAGGCAGTTAATTTAAACAGCTTTTCCTAAGCATTTCACAGAGATATGAAATGATAGTTTCAGGGAAAGGTGAGGTCTGGGGGATGTTTTTGAAGGATGGAGGACACTTGACATGTGTTATGCTTGCTCTGTATATTTGTACCATGTCCCCGTGGTCTCCCCTTTTAGAATATAAGCTCCTTGAGAGCAGGAATTGAGACATTCGTTGTTCCTGTCTTCCTAGTGCTGAGTACTTGGTCCTTGGCTTAATATACTGTCATTGATTGATCGACGGATTGCTCTCATGGCCAGAATTCTTTCTTACAGAGAGATCCGGTTGTGACATTATTCTGCCCAAGAGCCTTCAAGAGCTCCTAAGTAAAAATCAGACTCCTCTGCCCTCCACAGCATTCATTCCAGCATGGCCCTAACTCATCTTTCTAGTCTTATATCAATTCTCCCCGCATACTAAATAAACGGGGCTACCTTGTATTCCTTCAGAATGCCGTGAGTTCTAAAGTGCTGATATCTTTGCCATTGCTTCTCCCTGTGTTTGGCACTTCTTCCCTGTTCTGCTTCTCCCATGTAGTTCCTATTCATTCACAATGTTAGCTCCTTCCTGATCCCCTTGGCAGTAACTTACTATGTGCCCTGCAAACAGAGCTTTAGCTTCTGTGGATAGAAAGAAAGAAATGAATTTCTACCCAGTACTAGTGGGAGGATGCAGTCCACGTTAGGAAATAGTTCACAAAAGGCCAACTGCTCCCATCTCATATTTGTTATCAAGAATGTCCTTCATGTATGCATAGATGATTCTCATAAATATTTTATAGGAAGAGAAAGTTGGTACATGAGGCCACAACTGCTGATGTTTTCTCGGTCATCTTTCTTTAGCAATTGTGCAAACCATGATCTTTTCTATACTTTTGGAATCCTCCCTTCAGAGAACGTTATCTCCATTTTACAGATGAATAAACAGAGTGAATGTTAAATGACTTGCCCAGGGTCACACAGCTAGTAGGTATCTGAGGCAATATTGAAACTCAGGTCTTTCTGATTCTAATTGTTGTATTCTATCTACCCTATCTCCTAGTTATCTTGAAAAGAGATTCCGGAAGGCCTTTAAAACGGTCACCCCAGCTTGGATTCCTTCTGGGTGTATTTGGTCAGTTCCAGACATTGCACAAAATTCCATCTCCTATGAGCTACTGCCTTCTTCTTTCTGAACTTGTTCAGTGTTGTGTTGGTAGAGCTCCAGTATCATTGCTGATAGAAAAGAGTCACCCCTGAAACAGCAGTGGACTTGTCTCCTTTCAGGTCTCTCTCTGTTGTGAACCTTGCAGTTTTACCAACAAATGCTCTCAGGATGACTCGGCTTTGCTGGGCCTTGGGCCCACTTCTTGGCAGGCTCACTCTCCCCTCAACAGCTTTTTGCTGTTTTGTGAGTCAAGGCTGAGTTACAGAATCTCAGAGGCAACTGGTCCAGTCTGTAAATGAACAAGAATCCCTTCCACAAGGTACGCGTTAAGTGGCCATCTAATCTTTGCTTGAAGACTGCCAGTGAGAGACCATCCAATATTTGTTGAAGGGGAACCTTCCAATTTGGGATTATTTTAATTGTTGGGAAGTTGTATTGGCCCTACATCTGATTCTTTGAACTTTCCACCCATTACTCCTTAAATTCTGTCTTTTGGGGCCAAAGAAAAATAGTTTAACCCCACTTGTGATAAATAATTTAATACTGCTCCCATGTCCCCCTTAAACTTTCCCTTCTCCATGGAAAAATCCTGAGTGCTTTCAACCAATTTTCTGTTAGCATGATCCACCCACAGACTCTGTGCTTTTGCACTGGCCACCCCTCCCACCTCCATACTTGGAACCTTCTCTTTCCGTCCTTCCCCTCCTAGCCACCTCCTGGGCTTCTTTGAAGACTCAGCTTCTTCCACTTTCTGCAGGAGGTCTTTTCTGGTGCTCCCCATGCCCAGTGCCTTCCCTCTGAGGTTACCTTTCATCTACTCTGTACGTATCCTGTAGTCTGCATGTTGTCTCTCCGATTGGACTGTGACCTCTTTGGGGGTAGGGCATGTTTTCTGTCTTTCTTTGTATCTCCAGCACTTAGCATAGTGCCTGGCACACAGGAGACACTTAATAAATGCTTGTGGCATTTCATTAGATGCCATGCACATTCTACTTTGAGGTTTTTCTCAAATATTCCCATCTGTGATGGATTCCAATGTGAAGCTGAAGGTCCATACCTCCAATATTGCTTCCATCAGTTGCAAACAGACACTTACTAATTCTTCATGGTCACTGATTTTGTATGGATATAGAACATCATGCCTGGAAAGCTCCCCTGTGTTCTCCACCCAGGGCAAGCTAATACCTTGACTGCTTTTCCATATGTGTGCTCTCTGTTCTTCTGAAAAAAAGATTAGTTAAACTCTGTAGTGCACGGTTGATTCACATCATCATTAACTTCTGATACTTCCATCTGAGGGTCTTATGAAAGAGCCCAGCTTTCCTCAACATTTTTCAAAACATACTCCTGATACACTTCTTACCAATCTGTATAAACTGCTTTTAAGAAGGTTTTATTCATTGGAAAGAAAGCCTTCCAGTAATGCAGAGCAAGGACAAGCATCTTATATACAAACATTTATGCCTTCAAGACTTACTATCTGTCCACTCTATATTTAAATTGCTCAGAAATATTAAAAGCTGTTTTGACAGGAAAGAGAAGATATCCATGCCATTTTCCTAGGTAATGATCATTTTCTATTGCTGTTGCATGTTTAAAAGAAGAGACTTAAACGTACAGGACTTTTGAATCATTAATATTCAGCTTTTCTAAGAGCAAACAACGTAATGAACATGGGCCCACTTCCCAATGCTGAATGAGTTCTGAAGATCACCGTCTGAAAAAAGAAATCTGAAATAATTGATTACTGATTAGACAGCTTCTGCATCATTTTTCTTTTACTGCAAAATATCTTTGCTATCGCCTCCAAATAGATTTTCCAAGGTATTAAGCATTTCTTTTCACAGAAACTGAAATGTACAAATAGTTTAGTTAAGATAAAAATAAAAAAAATCCACAACATTTTTCAGACATTGGTGCCTTTGTCACTATTCTGTTTTGTCAATCGATAGGATTGTATTGGTAAGAACTCTATAGACAGAAGTGATTATAATGCCCAAGCTTGGACT